TAGAAAGTACTTGCAACTCCCTCTCATTGTTCCAGAATAATTTCAATAACAACAGGGATGCACTGCAGTGCCAAGAATGTTATCTGAAGCTGTGGTAGGGATAGATTACAGAGACTTCGCCTTTTCCTGCTGTTTATTTCAGCCAAGGCAGCATCTCACGAGCAATCTGGTAAAAGATAGCACTTTTGTAATGTACGAGTATCTATGCAACCCCTTAGAGTTTATGATTTTTCTAGTGCCAGTGCTTTCAGATCATTTCTTGGAATTCTGACTGTATGGGGCAAGGCTTTATTTCAATAAATTCTACCACCTTCACGATGGCACTGGAACAAAGCCATGGACTTGGTCTTCTTCATATTGCTGCTCATAAATGCCTTTGCCATCCGACAGATGCATCAATTTGGAATGACTTCATACTGTGGCTAATCCATTGGGTTTATAGTTCCGGACTAATAAAAACTCAATAAAATGATGTCAATTCAAGACTCATTTCCTTCCATGTTCAAGTTAGGGTGGGATTATTTAAAAAAAATAAACTAGGAATATTTTGGTTTACTCTTGCTTTAAAGAATCCTCTGGAATAGACATCCAGGTATGCCATCAGAAAACTTAAAGGATGATGTTGTTTCACACTTAACCTACAATTTTAGTTTAGTTTTTTTTTTCTATTTCTCCTTAGACTTTTCTCTGCACTCCTTTGGGAGCATAATAGTGTGCAACTATCCTGACTGTCCAAGAGCTTATATAAAAACATTTTATGTAAAATATGTTTATTATAAAATGAAAATAAAGATCAAAAGAGTGGAAACTTAAAAATGCCTGTTAATCATTCATTTTTATCCATTTTTTCTATGCACATATGCAAACATACTTTAAAAGTATCATAATTACTGAAATACTTCTCAGTGATCCACTTTGTTCTGTTTGTATTTCATGAAGATCTTATGGGGCTACGCATTTCTATCCTCACCACTTTTAATGACACTCCATATATTCTGTTGGATGAACGTATCACAGCTCATTTAACCAATATTCTATTATCACTTAGGCTATTTCCCAGTGTTCCATATTACAAACTTTGCTGCAAGGCTTTCTCTGTAATTAAACCTTTGCCAGCATTAATAATTATTTTCTTGGCACACATTCTCAGAAATTGGAGACTTTGTGATTTTTGTATCTTAGACAAAACGCAAAAGAAATATTTTGGCTACAGCAAGAAGAAACCGGGATGAGGGCACATCTTCTTGCTGCTTTTCGTGTGCCTTTGAGGACAGGTTACTCTTCAACTAGGGGATCCCTTGAAAGGGGAAAAAAATATCTTCCTTGAAATGGTGACCAGCCAGGTTGCTTATGTTCGTTAAAAGAAAAGATCAGCTGGAAAATGGCTGTTGGCAAAAAAGGTAGATTGTGGGGACTGAGCAGACTCTGTCACCATGACCAGATTGTACAGAAATGGTTGTCTGCTGGGGACCATTTTGCCCCTCAGGGAAGATCTGGTAGTGGTAGTGTCTGTAGATTGGGCTGGTTGCCCTGACGGGAGGGGGTGCTACTGGCACCTACTGGGTAGAGGCCAGGGCTGCTGCTATGCATCCTACTATTCACAGGACTGACCCAAGCCACAGAACAAAGAATGATCTGGATCAAGATGTCAATATTGCTGAGGCTGAGAAACCCTGTGGTAGAAAAAAAGGAAAAGAAACATCAGTGTGTTTCTGGAAACCCTGGTACAGCATTTAAACACTACTCATTGAAGATTTTATGCATGAGTGTTCTTTAATTTTTTTTTTCTCCATGGGACTCTTCAGTTACCCAAAATATTTGAGGTGTCTTAGGCTTGAGTACCAACCACACTCAGGGACACACCAGGCCTGTGCGCAGTGTCGTCCTGCTTGCTCCTGGCTTCTATCAGCGTTAATCGGGACAAGAATGTGTGTGTGTGTGTGTGTGGTGTGTGTGTGTGTGTGTCCTAACTATCCTAAGTACAGGGACTGTCTTTTGAGGAAAATGGAGAGGAGTTCAGACTGCCTGATTTTTCTCAGCATAATGATAAACATGGTGATATGATGTAAAAGATTGCCTGAGTTCTCCTTGGCAGAATTAAACCAGACCCATAGACTCGGCACCTGTCCCAGGGCCAGTCTTTGTTTCTTGTGCAGAGAAAGGGAGGTGAGTGTAGCTTTGTCTCCCTAGAGTTTGCAGAGCTGCCTGGTCAAGCCACACGGCATATTTTGATCATGGGGGAGCCAGTCCTGATTGTGATGGGCTTAGCTGAAATAGGAGGAAAATGATGTTTATAAGCATTAAAGGAAGAGGATGGAGGAACAGGGCACTTTCCCCACAGTGCAATAATTGGTCTGTGAAACACATGTAAAAATTGAGGCTAAAAAGAACTTGGCATTGATCAATTCACCATGTTTTTTTATTGAGCACATATTAAAAACAGCACTGCGTACAGTCCTTGAGTATTAAAGATGAATAGATAGCCAAATGTAGAAATATATGGGTAGTGCAGGGGCACCTGGGTGGCTCAGTCAGCTAAGGTCTGATACTTGATTTAAGCTCAGGTCATGATCTCAGGGTTGTGGGATTGAGCCCTGTGTCAGGCTTTGTGCTCAGCACGGAGTCGGCTTGATATTTTTTCCTTCCCCTTCTGCTCCTCCACTTGCTCACACTCACTCTCTCTCTCTGTCTCTCTGAAATAAATAAATAAATAAATAAATAAATAAATAAATAAAATCTGAAAAAGAAAGGAAATATATGGGCAGTGCAATGATGCACAGCTGTAGAATGAACGTGTAATAGGAGAAGGACCCTGCATGATGATTAAGAGTGGACTCTGGTGCCCAACTGCCTGGGTCTTTGTGGACCTATTTTGTTAACATGTTTCTTATCTTTTCTGTCTCTCAGTTTCCTCATCTGTAAAATAGAGTAATTGCCATCAGGACCAAGTGAGCTAATACACATAAAGCATTTAAAATAGTGCCACATGTTCACTGTGGCTATTGTGACTCTGTACTCATTCCCAGATCATAAGGGAGATGTGTGAGGTCACTTTTGATTCCCCTTGAACACAGGGGAAGAGGAATATTAGAGAAAAGGAAGTAGCTTTCTTGCTGGGTCTTGAAAAGTGAGCTAAGCAGGCAAAGAAGAAAATAATGACATGAGGAGCAAATGAAATAGCATGTGCTAAGGCCCTGAGGCACATGAAAATAAGGCATCCTAGAGCTGCAAGTATCTTCCATTTGCTTGGATTATATGATATGACTATAAAAGTAGACAGAGGCTAGATTCCCAAGGGCCTAATGTGCCTTGCTAAAGGGTATCTGTATTAATATGAGATAGGATATCATTTTTAAAAAATGATTTTATTTATTTATTCATGACAGACACAAAGAGAGGCAGAGACACAGGCAGAGAGAGAAGCAGGCTCCCTGCAGGGAGCCTAATGCCAGACTCAATGCCAGGACCCTGTGATCATGACCTAAGCCAAGGTAGACGCTCAGTCATTGAGCCACCCAGATGCCCCTAGGATATCTTTTGCAAGTGGTTGAAAACTCACCCCAAAAGGCTTGATAAAATTGGAATGGAATGACTATCATAACTGAAAAGTCCAGAGGAATACTGGGTGCAGGCATATCTAGTGTTCGAATGGTGACTCTCTTTATCTCTGTCCCCACTGTATGTGTCCCTACTGTATGGATCTCTGTCCCTATCTGTATGTGGCTCCATTTCAAATGGTATTATGCTCTGTGATGGTAAGATGGTTCGTAGAGGATCACAGGCTCAAGTCTAATGGGAGAGAATGAGATTCTCTCCTATAGAGTCCCATTAAAGTCTCAGTATTTTAGTCACCAGGACCTATAATTTTGGTGAGTGGAATGCTATGTTCTGATTGTTCAGCCCAGTGATTTACATAGTACAAGAGTCCATTCTGTTTAGAAGCTCAAAGACTTAGCATGTAAAAGAGGGTGGTCCTTCAGAAGAAAGGTTAGATATGAATACCAGAAAAAGGATATGGAATGAATACCAGATAGCAAAGCCCCCAAAAGTTCAAGGCCTCTTTCATACTGCAGGGTTTGGGGGGCCATCGCTGGCCTTTAAGCTGTGGATTGACACGATCGGATTTGTATTTGTGGAAGATGGACTGGAGGGTTGCGGCTGGAGGCAGAGAGTCATTTGGAAAGATTTTACTTGTCTAGGGAAGTAACGATCAGTATAGGAACGAAATCTTGGCACTGGGGATGGAAAGGTGTGATGACTCAGAACTGTACGTGTAAGAGCTAGAACCATTAAGAATTTTATACTGAACAAAATTATTCAGTGGGGAGGTGAAGAACAATGTCTACAATGTCCCTTAGGTTTGGCTTTGGTGATAGGCTGGGTATGGATGTTTTTGCTGGAAGTGGAGCTATAGAAGGCAAGAGAGAGGAAGGTATCAAACAACATGTTAGCCAATTTCTGAAATATTTTTATGTCCATGATCTTTTTTTCACATAGTGGCAGAGAAGAAGTATATTCGGAGTTTATAAAACCTTTCTTTTTTATCACTGCCAACAACATCATTCACAATGATGAAGGACCCAGGAGAGCACAGGTACAAGGAAACACACGTGTCCCAAAAGTGTGCTCCAAGGCACACACATGTTTATCTACACAGTTTTGTGTTGGTGTCACTTTTTAAAAATTTGTTTTGCTCTTTTATTCTCACCTGATTCTGACTAATGCATTCTTTCTGTTTGTCTGTCTCTGCAAGTGACTCTAAATCCTTCTGGAACAAGATGTTATATAGTTAATAAATCTCTCTTAATACATATGATTACAAGTAAGCCCTTACAAAGAGTGATTGGAATGAGACTTAGAATTATTTAAACCAAAATTAGGCTTCTATTTTTTTTACACAAATACTCATAAATGTGGATAAATGGTATCTGTCATTTCTTTTTCAAGGAACAAAAGACACCTACATTTGCTTAAGGAGTTTATCCTTTTAATACCAAAATAGTCCTTCCTTTCCCATTTTAGCTCTCTGGTACCCATCACAATCCCACCAGATATTTCAAAATAAAAATTCATCTTTGGGTCTAGAACCAGTTGTAGAAGCACAAAAAAAGCTACTCAAAATAGGCTTTGTCATGAAAGAAACATTTAAAAGATAGGTAAACAATGTCCACAAACTGAATGTATTAATGGATCATGATCAGAAAAAAATTTAAATTACACAATAATCTTGTGATCATGACTGTCTGCAATAATTCCTCCATTTCCATTTTCTCCAGCAAATCCCATTGTCTTCAAAGGGCCCATATTTTCATGTTCCCCAGGTGAGCTTCTGCTGTTGGCTCTTTTTTGCACTTTGTAGCCTGGCCTTCCAGGCTCAGCTGTTATCTAGAGGCAGGTGACTATCTCCAACCACCTTTGTTTTCTCTTCTTTCTACTTTCATTGCTCTTGGCCTTCCAGACTTATGTCCTGAGTCAGAAGGAGAGCAGCAAGTGGGCAAAGCATGGCAGGCAGAAGATGATGGGAGATAGGTCTGCTGATGAGAGAAGCAAGCATTGCCCTCACACACTGCTGTGTGATCACTATAAATGTCACCTCTGATCATGGCAGATCCAGCTCTGGAGCACACAGGAGCTCCATGGTTCCTTGTAAATGAAGTCAACATTTGTCAGGCTGGCATTCGAGGCTTTTCTGGGTCCTTGTTCTTACTTTCATGCTTTGTCCCCATTATTACCTCTGTCCTCACTTTAGCCACTTTACATCTCACCTACCTGGAAGGCCCAGGAGGCAGAGGAGACTTCCCAAGCCTCCTCTCTCACCCCTCAATTTGAGAGTAAGTCTGCTTCCCTCAGCAGTTCTTTCAGAGCATTTGTCTCTATGTTCAGTTTAGCACTTCACATATTTTAGCCTGCTCATTTCTAGAACTCTTGGTATTTTGTATATGTGCATGTGTGTCATTTCCTTTCTCATATCTTTAGAAATTTGGTGGCAGGGGCTGTGCCATACTCACCTCAGTGTTCCTCCACCTTCACAGAACTCTGTGGTGACTCACGCATAGGAGGCATTTAAAATGTCTATTAAATGAGTGAGCCAAGACAGAACACATGGAAGGAGGATTAGGAGCCACTAAAAGGAAGGGAGTAAGGGAATCCTATGACTGAGGGAGTAGCAGATTAAAGAGAATCATGACTGAGATGGAACAGTGAGGAACTGTGTTGCTGTGGGGAACAAGATGCCCACCCCAAGAGACGGTGGGACTGCAGGAACCGTGAGGCTTGGAAGGGACTATTATTTGCTCACACGTCTGGTCTCTCTCTCCCTCCTCCTCCTGTTCACTCCCATCAGTTTACTATAAATCAGTAGGCCTATGCTTCACTTTACTTGAATTCAATACCCTGGAAATCCATGAGAAAAAATGCCTCCTGACAATGTAGTCCTGTCATTTGTACACAAGCTAAGAGGAATAATAATTGTCTTGGGAAACTGTAAGCTAAAGGCTTAGGAGAATAACCTCCTGGCTGATCTCAGTAACTTGTTTCTCTTCATTTCCGATACCCCTCCCAGGCCCCTCTATCTTTGAGTTTTCTAACACCCTTTTCCGATGGCAAATACCAGGGGTGTTTTGAGGATGAGATGGGGTGAGTGGAGCCACTGAATTCATGTTTTCTTTGTATCCCTCCCACCTCCTAAACAAACACAACTTAGCATGCTTAGCATTTTTCCATGTATGGAACCTTCTCTGGCCTTCGTCTCCAGGAAGAGCAGGTCCCATGTGCTTCGAGTCAGACTGTTTGTCAGGTGTTGGTCTCACTGAATTGTGACAGTATGCTCATCACACACCAGCCTGTGTGAAGTAGAGATTTTGTCTTAACTCTTTATTAAATCTGTCCCAGTACCACAGTGTCTGGGTCACACAGGCTTACTAAAGAGTTGTTGAATGAATACATATATGAGTGTGAAGGAACAAATAATAAAACAAAGTAAGTTATCACTTCACTCTAGCTTGCCTCAAATTATTCAGTATATCTTACCTTTAGTTTTTGACTTTGAGAATTGTTAGAGACTTTTTCTAGGGTGTTATGATTCTCTAAATAGCAAGCAAAAATGTAATTTTATGAAGATTTAATGAGACAATATCATTGCCAGCTGATTTTATTACTCTGGGAGTTTAATAGAAAATTTGTTAACATTGTCTTTAATTTGTTTAAATATTTATGAACATTGTTTTGGAGAGGATTCTTATCTGGGATTATTGTTTTATAGAATTCATTTTGGTGTGGTTTCAACCATTTGGTGGTTCATCTTGTTTTAATAGATTCTGTTAGAATTCTCTGTAAGTGCTTTGGAATCTGAGTGGGAGTCTCTTTGGATCTCATTTCTGCTTGCTCCACCTTCCAGGGCCCCAGATTAAATCAAAGTGTCTGCCACAGGAATCTCGGAACATTCAGGATATCAGTCCCGATCACAGCTCATCATCTTCTGATATGGAATCTAGATAATCTGTGTCAACATATAAGAGAAATCCGGAGAACAAGCTGTCTGCCCAACCTGGGTCTGAGAAGAGGCCATTCTGGTCAGTGAAGAAGATCTCCAGCCAGACTTCGTCTTCTGGCTGTAGATAGATAACCGTGGATCCCGAAGCCACATCATGGTTCCCCGTGTTGGCATCAAAGGTCTTTATCCGGTACTGCCCATTGTGTACCAGCCCGATTGCCAGATGCTTATTCGCCAATGTGATATCATAAGAAAAGTAATAGATTCCTGGGAAGGCACAGATGAACTTCCCAGTCGCAGGGTTGTAGTGCTCTCCCTCATTAAAGAGGACCTTGTTAAATATAATTGGTAGCCTTTCTTCTGGGTAGCTGGTTGTGATGCCAACAGAAAAGGCAGATTTGAGCATGATGCTTCCACATCTACAAATTCCAGGCGGCCCTGGGTCTCCTTGCTCTCCTCTGTCCCCCTTTGCTCCAGGAGGTCCAACTGGACCTACTTCCCCTTTTTCTCCCTCTGGTCCCACAGGTCCTTTCTTTCCAGTCTCTCCTTGGTCACCTTTCTCTCCAGCAAGGCCCAGTGGTCCAGTCTTACCTCTCAAACCTTTAAAAAGAGTATGGTTTAAATTAATGATTCCTCCAAATATACAGTCACAAACAGCATGTCCCACATAGTGTCAGTACGCCCTAAATGTGTCTCTCCAAACAATTTTCAACAGTACACTACTAAATACTAATGCATCTTAAAAAAAAATCACTGATGGATTAAAACGGAAATAGAAAATTTTCATCAGAATTTCAGGTTAGTTTTCCTGAGTATGTGAGAAATCATTTAAATGCTATTTTGATGATGGATCATCTGCAATGAAATCAGTCACATACAATATTTGTCACTCTAGGAGAAATTCGATGAGCATAATGATACTATTCCCCAGAGCGGAGTTAAGGGGGCAGATAGAACCAGATCAATCCTTAGAGGCTATATTGTCTCATGCCCCATCCTATTTCTATCAATATTTATAGTACAAGAATTGATGAAAACTTGATTAGCTCATATTTATTCAACATTTACTGTGTACCAGGTACAGCACTTTATTCACAGGCATTGTCTTCTTTAGGTCTTGCAAGAACTTTATGGATTAGGAAATTATTACTGCTTCCATTGCAGATGGGGAGACTGAGCCACAGATAAGTTAGTTTGCTCAAGGTAACAGAGCTAGTAAGTGATGGAGCTGTGACCTGAATACAGCCTACCTGACTCTGGAGCTTGAGCATCCCCCTGGGGGGGAAGCTAGAGTGTACATTGTAAAGTACACCTGGCACATAGTGAGGGCTCAGTATGCCATGATAACCAAACAACAGTGATGGCTACCACTATGCAGTAGCTCTTTTTGGGAGGAGAAAATTGAGTCCCAGAATGGTGAAGAAACTCGCTTCTGTAGCAAGGCTAGGACTGGAATCCAAGTCCTAGTGTAATGATGCTTCCCCTTCATCAAAGTGCCTCTTACCTTTGGGGCTGGAATCAAGAATCCTAAATTCTGTTTGGCTCTGCAGCTAAATGGTTGTATCATTTTAGGCAAGTCCCTTAATTTCTCTGGGTCTCCTTATATATAGAAAAGACATAATATCTGTGAAAGGATTTCAACAAATTCAAAATCACCACAGTGAAATATTTTCTGTTTGTCCAAATCTTTATAACTACAGATCAACCATAGGCTAAAAGCAGAGAAATTATGATCATTGGTTGAAAGGGATAAGCAACATTTAATTATATATATATATAGTTGTGTGTGTACATATATACATACACACACACATATATATATATACACACACACATACAATGACTAATAGCATAAAAATGTCATTTAATTTTTATGGTTAAACTTATTCCATAAATAATACTTGTATAATGATATACCCTCAAAAAGTATCCAAATTATTGGTAATTTATGATATACTATTTTTTAAAAAGATTTTATTTATTTATTCATGAGAGACACAGAGAGAGAAAGAGGCAGAGACACAGGCAGAGGGAGAAGCAGGCTCCATGCAGGGAGCCCAATGTGGGACTCAATCCCTGGTCTCCAGGATCACACTCCTGGTCAAAGGCGATGCTAAACCGCTGGGCCACCGGGGCTGCCCTATTGATTTACTTTTGTAGTCAATGGAAATATATTATTGGTCTACTCTGTAGTTTCACTCTTAACTATGTATTTGTTCTCAGGAACTTTTATTAAGCTAAGCTTTTTTATCTTGATAGTGCTCTGGTAACATTTATTTGAATGTTACACATATATCAATGTATGAGCTTAATTATTTTTCAGTTATTTGACAAATTTAGCAAATGTTCTAGATAATGTTAATTTGAGGAGAATCAATGCCTTAGCCTTAAAACATCCAGTATTTTGTTTTGATAATTTTGGAAATAAGCTGTTTAACAATTTATGATGCACAGAAGAGTCTATTAACAAAACCCTTTTTTGGTGACTGGGATCAGTGACTGGGATCTCATAACTGATGTGAGGACATCTCCTCAAGCTCTAGAGGGCTTTTGTTGTGAAGTTGAAATTCCACTGCTCCCAGCAAGAATATACTCTGGTATTTATGTCTTGAAATGAGGCCATAAGAGTCTGATCTTTCAATATTGCTTCTTTTCAGTAGAAATAAAATATGAATATTATTTTACTGTTGAATTTATTTGTGAATCGAGGACCACAACTTATAAATTGTTATTTTTATTTTCAACAGGAGCTTAACTTTTGTTGTCTCCATGAGTGACCTTAGATGTATTAATTAAAAAACTTTTGTCATCAGAAACAATTTTGACTATTAAATTTCATTAGGTTCTCCAATCCTCCTGCCTCTATGACTTTGGGCAAGTCACTTCTTGTCTGTGTTCAAATGCTCCATTTGTAATATGAAGAATCGGATTTAAGTCCACTCCAAACCTAGCAGGAAAAGCAGTAAACAGTGGTTCAGCAGACTGGGGATAAATCCTTAGTTCATCCATGTGTTAGTCAGGTGAATTTGAATAAGTTCTCTCTGACTATATTTTCTCAGTCCTTGAAATGAAAGTGTTGGACTAGGTTGCTTAAGGTCTCATCCTATTGAAAATTCTTTGGGACAAAACCATAAATATTAAGATGGAATTTTACAGTGCTAGCCATGTAAAGGTCTTTACAATCTCAGTATTTGGATTTTCTATGGTTATTGAATTAGATAATCAGGATTAGCTGTAATAACTTGAAGTAATTCTTCCTGTTTGCATGAAGGATTTGTACCTGTGCTAAGGGCCAATTAATGAATAATGGAAAGAAGGGATACATCACTCTCCTTCTTCTTATTCAGTTAGACATATGTTTGGGTAGAGAGAATTATGGAGTAGTGATTAGTCTATGCTAGGTAGTGATGCTTGGAGAGAAAGGATTTCCTTTTAGTCCTCCTTGAAATGAGCTTACAAAGATTTCTTCCTCAGTGCTATTTCTTTCTTCCATCCATCCATCCATCCATCCATCCATCCATCCATCCATGCATTATCCACGTATTTATGTGTGTATACATACATATATCTAAACCATGTAATATTGATTGACCATTCACTACCTGCTAGGCACTATACTAGGGACTGAGTGGGACATTGACATGAATGACACCTGTTCCCCTCTCAAGTTAGCTGTTACTACCAACTATACCATGATCTGAATATATGGGTCATAGCTAAGTTCACGAATATCTAAAACCATATGATCGATCTGTTTCATGGGGTGGTTCTAGTATTATTTGAAGATATCTATAGGGATGCATTCAGATTAAATTAAATGGTGATATGATGTTACAAGAGTAATTGCAATAGACCAGTAAAGAAGACACATATTTTTAACAGAAAATTCCTAATTTGGTATAAGAAGTTCTGTACTTGTAATTTAGGGTAGAGAAGTTGGACAAAAATTCTTGATTCTGCTTGCACTTGGTTGGATGTATATAATGGGGATGTTTACCAACAGTAGGTGAATGAGAAGACATTTTTGGTGTCATTAAAGGGGACAGAAGAACCAAGCATTCCTAGCCGTGTTGTGTCCAGTTCCAGCTGCATTAAAAGCTTATCCCCAAAGCCCCAGGTCTCTGTTACTGTTGTTCATAAATGGGATATGTTTTTCATTGACCACAAAGGTGTTCCTACCTTTCTTATCTGTTTAAGCACTTTATATGTGTATTTGTGTATATTGGATTTAAGTAATCTCAGGTTGGGAAAGTGATTTTATTTTTGAATCTCAATGTTTTCACTGCAACATTATTATTATTATTATTGCTTATTGTATTGACTTCTAACAGGGTTATGTGGACATTAAGTACTAAATGTAAAATTTCTGAAACAATAAGTTCTTAATAAATGGCTATGATGATGATGATGAATATGGTAATTATATGTTTCTATATTGGCTTCCCAGACCTCCATGATTGTTTATCAAGGCAAGGGCAATGCCTTATTCATGTTTGTGTTCTCATTGTCTAGAACAGTAATATCAACCAGGGGCAACTTTACACTACCACCAAGGGATGGTTGGCAATGTCTGGGACATTTTTGTTGTCATGGGTGGTGGGGGTGCCCCTGGCATCTAGTGGGATGCTGTTGAATGTCCTGCAATACAGAAGATAGCCATCCCACAGCAACTAATTATTTGGCCCAAAATGTCATTAGGGTGGAAGCTGAGAAATACTGGTCCAGAATAACACCAGATAGCAATAGGTACACAAGAAGCTTATTGAAGAATAATGCATGGGTGGATAAATGAATATGAGGGTGTAGCTGGCTTTGTATGATTAAAATTGTAGCAATTATGAACATTCAATGTAATCTGAATACATATCTACATACTTATTTTTATTTATTTTAATTTTTAATTTTTAAAATTTTAATTATTTATTTAAATTCAATTTGTCAACATCCAGTGCTCATCACATTACATGCCCTTCTTAATGCCCATCACCCCTATTTTTCAATGATACTCATGAAACACATCACTCATTTCTAGTTTATTACATGACTTTGGATATTCAAGTACTTAGCTATGACTCATGTTCGCAGAGCACCGTGTGATATGTAATGACAGCTAACATTTCCTGAGTGCTTACCACAAAGCAGCTGTTCTACCAAGTGTTGTACATGTATTATTGTGCTTAAACATCACAATCATCCTTAATACTCCCAATTTACAAATGAGGGAACTGAGGCTCAAAGCAGTTATTTGCCTGAGGATACTAAATTAGTAATTGAAGGAGCCAAGGTTTGAGCCTAAATCCGAAGGACTCCTATGCCTGCTTGTGTGAGTACTACTTTATTGCTTCCAGACAGAGTAAACTAAAAGAGTTGGCTGTATGTAACTCTGTTCCTGGTGTTATTACAGGATTTCAAGGCTATTCATGACCATGACACAGCAGTAAGTTGTATTCATAGGTGTTACCATAGATAAGACATAAGCTTCAAATTAAAGGTTCTTTATCTGATATTGAACCTTTACCTAAAGGTTTTTTTTTAATCTAATATTGAACAATATTCATACACATTTGGTAGCTACTGATTTCCCAAGTATTTTCTGCATGACAAATTGAGAAATGAATTATTATCCAGTAACTTGCATATATATTACGCTACTGTTTCAAGGAATGCCAGTAAATCAGGTGCAATTACTCGATAGAGATATGTTTCTTAGAACAGATTGGCTTTTCTCTTCCTATCTTTTGTCCCAGCCTTTACGCTTAGAAACTTCAAAGATTGATGCCAAATCACTTCCTCTTTTAAAGTTAACAAAGCTTCTCTATAATTTGAATTCGGTTTACTCTGAAGGATTGCAGAATCTGGCAATCTTCCTGGGCCAACTTATTTGTGGGGAAAAAAGTAAAAATTACTGAAGTCATAGGGGGCAATCGTGTCACCATGAAGAGCGGTAAGAATCTAATTTTTAGCTGTTACAGGACAGGTGGGAAAGAGGTGAGTTAGGAAAGGTGGACTATATGGTACCATTGTCATTTCATCTGTGGAAAATAAAATCTAGAAGTCCTTTATATAACTTTGCTCAGGATATTAGTGCAGAGCAGGGTGACATATGCTTTTGGTTCTTGGGATGCCTGCCTCTGCTTCGTCTGTTCATTTCCCTTCCTTGTCCATCTGTCTGCTATCCATCCATGCCCTTGCACATCCAGACATCGTCTGCTAGCTGCAATAGCCCTGTGGTCATGAGCATCAGTGTTTGAATCCAGCTCTGCTGGTCACTTAGCAATGAATTTCCATCTTCAGTAACTAATTTAACCATGCTATTGCTCTCATCTGTACAACAGGATAACTAGAAGAGATGTCATTATAGTAAAATAAGGTTGCAGGTGAAGAATTTAGAGCAGTATCTAAAGCATAGTAAGGGCTCAATAAATCACGATTAAGGAAGGTGAAGTAGAGAAGAGATTTCAGGAGCAATTGTCTCTAGAAAAGGCAAGAAAGGAAGTAGTTTAAGGTGGGAGTGAATGTGGGATGTTTATTTATTTTTAAAGATTTATTTATTTTAGAGGGAGAGAGATAAGGAGAGAGTGAGCACAAGTGGAGGAGGGGCAGAGGGAGAGGGAGAGAGAATCCCAAGCAGACTCCCCACTGATCATAGACATGGGGAGTTTAGGGAACTTGATCACTCATTACCTGCAGCTCCCTTTTCACCTTTCTCTCCTTTCCTGCCGTCTCTACCATCTCGTCCTGGAAGGCCGATCCGACCATGGGGCCCAGGGGAACCATTTGCTCCAGGGGGTCCTGGAGGTCCAGGTAAGCCAGGAATGCTACAGATATATCTTGGGGAGTAGCTCTCTCCTTTGAACTGATTACCTCGAGGCTGTCCACTGGCACAAATGGCAAAACTTGTAACATAGAGCAAGATAAACATCTTTGGCTCTGGAAAAGAAACACAGGGACATAAATGCACCCTCTCAGGGGAGAGTTTTGGCATAAATGAACATGAGAATAGGCTTTTGCAACCACTCACTCCAGTGCTCACCTCTCCATGCATGTAGAAAGCCTCAGTTTACTCTCATAATTTCCTTGGAAACTATGAACACATTACTGATAGAGAGTTCTCAGTGCCCCACCCAAGGTTGGTGGAGATGAAGGCTAGGTTAAAACAATTTCAAAATAAACACACTTGTTGTATTATTTCCTGTAGGGTCAATGATGGATCTTGAAAAATGAGGCTTTCTTTTTGCAAAAATAATGCATTATTTTTAGGAAATTAGAAATGCAAATGAGTAAGACAAACATTAACATTATTATCACCACTAGAAATAATTACAACTTACATTTTGATACATAACCTTCTGGTCTTTCGATGCTGTGGAGAAAATTGATATTATGGCACTCTTGTATTTTTTAAACTTTTTTCACTTAACAGTGATATATAATAAGCATCTTCTCATGTCAAAAATTATTCATAAGATTTTTAAAAAGTTGCATTTTTCTCCACTATCCTTTATCTACACGATTTGCCATCATAGATATTTCCTTCCAGTTTTCTGCCAGTATAAATGCTATGCTAGACATCTGTATGTCTAATCTTTGATGTATCCATGATTGTTTCCTTTGAATTTATGGGCTTTTTAAAGCAGGAGAAAAGAAGTGGCATTTTCAGGAAAACCATGTTTTTCACTTGATAATCATGTGTAAAACCAATTACTGTTAATTGGAGTACTGTGCATTGTCCTGCAGGGGGGTCTCAAACTTTAATTTAAAATCTGCAGGATATAATGCCCTGGTGAACCATTAAGCTGTTAGCACCAAGGCTCAATTAAAGAGCTGAGTGAAATTAAACCGTGCATGGTGCCACGTGCTCCTGGGGAAGCAGACAACAGGTCTCTTCAGCTATGATTTAATAGGACTTGGTTTTTCTCTCCACAAATAGGATCCTGAGAATGACAGATCATTTATTAGCATGACATTTGGCATTTAAACTGAGAGGTGGGCAGTATAGGCTGGGACACCTGATTTTCTAGGCTACATGGTCCTTAGGATTATCAGCTTCTTGGATGGGAGATTGTATACACATGGTTTCAGAGTGGTGTAAATTAATAGTTTTTGGATAGTTGGACCTGTGCTTTCATAAGAAATCTCAACAATGCTTGACGTATATGCCTGGCATATGCTCGCCCAAAGGAAATAATCATAAAATGTGAAAAAAGCAATCGGATGGAGTTTCCTTGTTTTTTGACAGCCACATCAGAAAATTAACCAGGCACACTGTACCAGTTTTATGACACCCATGGGAAAATTGCAACATCTTGGAATTAGACCTAGAAATTTGCCAGAGCATAGGAATGACAAACTGAGAAAAACACAGTTTGCACATGTGGCTCAAAATATGTCTGATTCCTAGAAATCTTATTAGTGAAAAACTAAAGCAACTTACCCAAATATAGGCTTTGTATCTTTGACCAAATCTTCATGTTGCCAATGTCTCTCCTCCCCATATCCCCCATTCCCCAAATCCAGGAGAATATTTTTGCTGTGTACTGTCTGCTATAATGTAGCATGAATTCAAAATTAGTGATCCCATTGCTCAACTGGGATTAAGGCCCTTTGGAGAAGCCCATCAGATCTGATAAAGATACGAGCCCTTTCAAGAGTCTTCCAGATGAAAGAAAATGAAAGAACATTTTATCCATACCTCTGACATGGTTAAAACAAACTACAATGACTAAATTACTAGCTTTTTCTTGTAAAAAACTGATTAAAGGAGGTTTTAAGAAGGAATTTGAAAGACAAGAACATGCTCATAGGAGATACTCATAAAAAGGTGTTTAAAGAGACATGGAATGGGCTTCTGTAGCTAAGGCCAGGATTTGATTCTAAGTGGGACTTGAAATTATGTGGAGAGAGGGCACTTTGGGCAGTGGCATCTCAGGCACCATAGTGGAGATGCTGAAAAACACAAACACGCCAGTACTCAGGGACCAGTCTATAAAGAAGTTTGTAGTAAGAGTGATGGTGGGTAGAATGATATTAACATTTCCAATAGCCAGGCTAAAAAGTGCTCAAAGAAGGTAAAAACTAACACAACTAAAACTGATGCATTCATCAAACAAATGGTTTGCCTTTCATTGACAAATGCATTAGAATATTGTCTGTATAGTAGTCTAAATGCTGGAAGCATCTTCAGTTAGAATTTTGTCATTTTTTTGAGAGGGTGGGGGGTAGGGATAAGGGGAGAGGGAGAGGAGGAGAGAATCTTAAGCAGGTTCCATGCTCAGAGTAGAGCACAATGTAGGGCTCAATCTCAACTCTGAGATCATGACCCCTGCCAAAATCAAGAGTTGGATGCTTAACTGACTGAGCCACCTGGGTGCCCCTCCCAGTTAAAATTTTTGAAAGTCACTCAAAATGATTATCCATTAATAATCCTCATCAGGGGGATCCCTGGGTGGCGCAGCGGTTTGGCGCCTGCCTTTGGCTCAGGGCGCGATACTGGAGACCCGGGATCGAATCCCATATCGGGCTCCCGGTACATGGAGCCTGCTTCTCCCTCTGCCTATGTGTCTGCCTCTCTCTCTCTCTCTCTCTCTCTCTCTCTGTGACTATCATAAATAAATAAATTAAAAAAAAATTTAAAAAAAAAATAATCCTCATCAGAATTGAGGAACAATATGGTATGCTTCCTGATGCATGACGACAGCATGGTGGTAAGTGGCCACTTGAGTCTTGGGACTCAATTTATTGGGATGACAAAGAGGTATCAGGTATAATGGAAACTACATTGGCATCACCTTGCAATCCGTCCTTCATTTTACTGAAAAGTCAAAGGCCTCATGGTACATCGTCTTTAGGGCTCTATTTGATTAGGCATCTACACTTGTTACTTCCCTGACTTCTTCCACTATTCTCCTTCCTGCTCTCCAGCTCCAGTCACTCTGAATTCCTTGGGTTTCTCAAAGACACCAGGAATGGTCTACCTTAGGGCCTTCATGCTGTCTCTTCCCTCTGTCTAGAAGTCTCTGCCCCCAGACATCCACATGTCTTACTCTCTCATCCCTCTCTTTTCTACCCTCTCCCTGAAGCCAATTATTATACTGTACAATTATCTTTTATACCTCCTGACCCCCCCATTCTGCTCTACTGTTTTCTCTTTTTCTTTGTACTCATCATCTCTAAGTCACTAAATTGTTATGCTTATTGTGCTTTAAAAATATTGAAGATCTCCATCTGATAGAAGGTAATCTCCATGAGGGGCAAGGATTTTGTCTTACTCATTGACTTCTACAACCATCTAGAACACTCTGTAGCACAAAACATCAAGTTGTGGGAAAGGAGGAAGATTTTTGGGGGAGGTGGGTTTGAGTTTTGTGGGAAAAAAAAAAGAAAAAATATAGATTATCTACCATATGGATACATTACACTTAACTAGTCTCCTACTGATGAGTATTTGGGATATTTTCATTCTTGTATAAACAATAGTGCAATAAATCAATCTCTCTCTCTTTTATTTGTACATAGTTCATCACTTGAGCAGCAAATAGCTTGTTCCCAGTTTGCCTTTTCCTGCATTTAAAAATATTTTTATCATAAAAACATTCTTGGGCACGAGGGTGGCTCAGTTGGTTGAGCGTCTGCCTTTGGCTTAGTACATGATCCTGGAGTCCTGGGATCAAGCCTCAAGTCAATCTCTTCACTCCTTCTTCCTCTGCTCCTCTCCCCCAGCTCATGCTTTCTCTCGTGCTATCTCTGGCATGCTTTCTCTCTCTCTCTCAAATAAATCAATAAAATCTTAAAAAAAAAGAAAACCCCAACATTCTTGAAGTTCAATTTATTGTGTTTGAAAGGCCTTCTTCACTTCAGGATAATAAAAAGAATTCTCCCATTTTCAGTTCTTTTGTTGTTTCACTTGTTCACATTTAGTATTTGACCCATTAGACTGTTTCTTTCTTTCTTTCTTTCTTTCTTTCTTTCTTTCTTTCTTTCTTTCTTTCTCTTTCTTTCTTTCTCTTTCTTTCTTTCTTTCTTTCTTTCCTTTCTTTCTTTCTTTTTCTTTCTTCTTTTTTTCAGTTGAAGATTACTTATTTATTTGAGAGAGAACAGGAGAGAAAGAGAGAAAGAGAGAATAGGGAATGGGGCAGAGGGAGAGGGAGAGAGAATCTTAAATAGACTCTGAGCACAGAGCCTGATGCAGGGCTCAATCTCATGACCCTTGAGATCACGACCTGGGCTGAAACCAAGAGTTGGATGCTTAACCGACTCTGCAACCCAGATGATCCTAGAATATTTCTGATAACAAGTGTGAGATAGAGATCCACCTGTATATTTTCAACACCTGTACTGAATAATCCATCTTTCACCCACTCTCCCACCGGTTTGTAGTGAACTTGGTTATTTTGGATGGGACAAAATTATGTGGGTCATGGTTTTATAAACATTACAATATTTTTTACAGCAATATTTATTGAGATTTAATTTAGACATTATAAATTCGATCAGTTTGAAGTATTCAACTCAACGTACACTATAATCCAATTTTAGATCACTTTCAGAACTACAGCAAGAAACCTCAGACACATTTGCAGTCACTCCTCATACAAAATATTTTGATGGATTGTATTGAATATGCAAATTTATGTAGAATATGTGCTAAAATGTATTTTTCCCAACATCACGCTCCTTTGGAGTGAGAAAATCAAAGCTCTGGAAATATTGTTAATCTTGAACAGATCTGTCCTGGGATGTTAATGGATTCTATTTTTCTGCAGGGATTACAAAGTAACAGATTTTTAGTTTTTTTAAACTTCTATTTACTCTGTGGTACTTTAGATTTCACAGCTTTTGTGTGAATGTGTACTTTGAATTTGTAAAGCATGAACGTAAGCATGTAGTGTCTTGTGAGATTTTTAGTGATAGAATCCTTTGTTCTTGCTAAA